AGATGAGGGCGGGTGTGAGCTTACACACGCACACACATACGAAGACTCGGAGGGACGGAGTATATAGAGGAGAGCTGGACAAAGCTGGCCACACCAGAATCGTTCAGGCTCTCCGCTAGGCAACACCGCCGCAATCCAACAAATTCTCAAACATGGTGAGCCGAGTTCCTGTTTCCTTGTCTTAGCCTACACGGCAAAGATATGTCTTTTTGCTTTTCGTCTGCAGAGAAGAAACATTTTGTTTTAGTAGTGTCAGTCCAGATTGTTGGGTTAAAAAAACGAAAGACTTTCTTAAATGTCTCTCCTCCGCTTACAGTCCAATATTTTGAATAATAATTCAGAACAACTGTAACTTTCTTAGGTAACATAATGTTGGGGGCCAGTTCATTATGTGTTTCTGTATGTCTTCTGACTACATCCCAATAAAAGAAAGGGTATGGGGTGACTGCCCCCACATAGGTTGGATATGGGGTGACTACCCCCCACAGAATAGGTGTGTGGGAATTCATAATAAATCTATCAAGTAACTGGTTTGTTTCAGGGTCTGCGTGTGTTGGTGCTGGCTGCTTGTGTGGCCGTCATCTTGGGGTCAACCTTCCCCAAACAAGACTGTCTGAACTTCTGTCCTGACCCTGTCAAAGGTCACGGCTTCTTCATCTGCTGTGACCGTAAGTTGGAACCCCATTTCAACTTCTAATATTGGCATTAAATTAACAAATAAAGGTATTAAAGTGAATGAAAAAGCAGCAAATGTTTATATCTTTCTGGGCAGAATGAAAGTAAGTGTATGTTGTCTATTATAGTGTGTCTCGAGCCTCTACCTCGCTTCACCTGAAGTGGTTTGGTGTTTCACATTTATATAACATATATTTTTGTATTTTCTACAGCCAACCCTGGTGTCTGTCCTCCTGTCCGCAGCGTGTGTCCCTTCAGCAAGTTCCCCAGTCCACCGGTAAGTCTTGTCTCCAGGAAGTGTTATCAAGCACTGTAACACATACTGTGATGTTGATAATATCTTGGTAGTAAGTTATCTCCATACCCTAGGAATTTACATGTGGAAGAGGCAAGGTTGTGGGGACGTTATTTGTAATAATTTGCTGTTTCGCTATCCAGGATTTTTTTTATAGACTATGACTGTCATCCCTCTGTACAGACTTCACTAGTTCTGGCGTGGAACACATTACAGTATGATGTAAAAGAATGCTTCCGTGGTGTTAATGCATTTTTTCTTTTGTTTTGCAGAGATGTCAGAAGGATTATGAGTGCGGCAAGATAAATAAATGTTGCCAGGATGTTTGCCTCAGGTATAAGACTTGTAAGCCACCGATACTCTACTGATACACCACCAGCGGTATCAACAACACCTCAGATGACCAACAAGAGTGTGAAATCTCAGCCTACAAAACAAGACTTGCTTTGAATTCATTCCCCTTCTCCCCAAATAAACTTCTCCCCTAAAAATGAAATGGCATTATACGATGTATCACTATTGAAAATATATTTTGAGTGCTTGGTGCTCAATTAGAACGTGTATGTTGAGTGTGAGTAGTGTGTGTGTGTGTGTGTGTGTGTGTGTGTGTGTGTGTGTGTGTGTGTGTGTGTGTGTGTGTGTGTGTGTGTGTGTGTGTGTGTGTGTGTGTGTGTGTGTGTGTGTGTGTGTGTGTGTGTGTGTGCTGGTTCATTCAATCACTGTTTTACTGTTGTTATTGTTACTGTATATGCACATTACTATTGAATGTAGAACGTTTAAGGTTTTCTGCGGAATTATTAGCAATAATACAAAAAAAATAGTGGTCTAGTTTATGTTGATCTCCTTATATTGTTAAATCTTAAAGTTTCTCGATACTTCAGGGGTCAGCACTCTGACCTATGTTTTTCCTAACCTACATTCACGACATTTCCTGAGCCCTAGAATCATACAAATCATTGTTTGACGAGGATGAAAAGCTGACAAAAACTGCAAAAAATAAAACTACAGGCTACAGGAATGACAGTAAAAAAAGTCTGTTGGAATTCAACCCTGATAAACACAAAATAATTAAAATATGAGAAGAGACAGAGAACAGACAAGGAGCATTATGTGGATGAGGAACAACTCTGAGTTACTTAAACATTAAGATCACTTCTATTCTAGCACTAGAAACCAATATAAATTGAAAAACGTCGACAACATATTCTAAACTTGCAACTATAAGAGCGACACTCAGGCATTCATGATTCTAAGGAAAGAAACACTCAAAATAATTTACCCAATATACATCAAGCCGCCGCTCGTCCTCCTAAACCAAGCACTGATTTCTCAAACGATTTTAAGCAATTTTTTCGATTTATATTATTTAGATTAGGCCTGGTTAGGTAGGTTGGGTAAAGTTCAGTTAGGTTGGATTGTCGTATACAGGCAAAATTTTAACCTAATATAAATCCAATAAATGTAATAACAGACAAAGGTGACTGGTGTCAGTCTCAAGTCAATAAAGTCCAGAACAAAATGTGATAAATCACCATAAAAGTAGAGGGGGGGGGGGCTAGGCTTATAGGATACGAGGATACTTTTCTAGGTGCACGTAGCAACCAAAACAACTACAGTAGTTATTAAATTATTATTATTAGCAGTAGTAATACAAGTAGTAGTAGTAGTACATTCACAGGGAAAAAGCTAAATCTGTAGGGATGGCAGAGTGCCTGGGGAATGAAAAATTATCACATTTGATCCAAAGAAGGGAAGGATAGCCCCGGTTCCTTAGATCAAGAGCCTCTAAGCAACAAACCCTTCTCTCAGCTCGCCTCATTTCACACATAAGTCTCCTTGCTTGCATTAATTTCTCGCAGTCTTCACTACATCACTAAAAATATATGAATACAGTCCTTCATAACAATAGTAATGGCCGACGTTGCTGGCTGGGCAAGTGTAATGAGTGGAATTCCCCAAGGATCAGAACTAAGACTGTCACTGTTAATGATACTCGTCCATGACTTTTAATGCAGAGAAATGGTATAAAATAATGACATGATGGAAATAGACACAGATGCAGTGTTCTTACACTGCATGGGCGAAGCGTTGTCATTAAAGAATCTTATTACACCGCATTTGTATCTCTGCCTCCAAATGACATTTTAGTTGGGATTAATTTCTAAGTACCGTCAGTCGGCATCAAGGCAGAGAAACACACTCTGAATAGGATGGAAGCTGGATACCGGAAGAAATGAAGAGCCAGGGAAGGTGGTCAAGTAAGTGCCTACTGGATTTCAATTAAATTGGTTCAAGGTAAATATAAACTGGGGAGGGAGAGAGCAGACCAGTGATTGATCACAGCCTTGGAGGCGAGAACCTACAATAACATGCAACGGGAAAAATCTGAAAGCTAATGTAATAATGACCATTCGCCACAGATTAGATTTTGCCACTGAAGTGGCTATTGTGTACCCCATATCCATCCTGTGGACGGTAGCCCAAGAGCATATCGATACACAAAAGACCTAGGAACTAGGCCCCAAAAGGGTTAACAGGTGTACATATGACTTTATATCTACAGTTCACTTATCTGTTACAAGCAAATTTAGGAAATTTGCTTAGTATATCTGGTATCTTCTTTTCATTAATAAGATATCTTGACATGTCCCATAGGTTATTATACTGTCTATCTCTGTATTCCTCAATAAGTGGACAATTAAGCACATAGTGCTCAAGACAGTGACCTTATGCCGGATCACATAATTTGCATTTAGTTTGATCATGCCCAAAAACAGCATAACACTGGCAGGGCATGCGAGGCCGGGAAGCCTCGGAAGTACTTCGTATGAATTCTTTAGAATTCTACACAACAAATATCAGTTCTATCATAGCGTAGCACCAGGATGCAGCTCACACCTGACCAGACTTTTTCAAAAACTGGAGAGGGATCAAGCGTTTACGTCGAAACTAGTCCTAGAGCTAGAGGGGAATGAACAACACTGAAAGGCTGAATGAAATGAGAGAAAAACTAAGGAGGTATAATTACGAAATTCAAAATGTTTGGAGAATTTGACATGACAAAGTGTCAGAGTGAAATGCGAGCGAGGGTCAGAGGCGAGGAAAGGTAGGGGTATGTATTGAAACTAAAGAACATTTATGAGCAGCTGGGATGTTAGGAAATGTTTCCTCAGTCTCAGAGTTGGAAATGGGTGAACTCAGTTGGATGAGGAAGTGATGGAAGCAAACTACAAAGTGTCAAGAAAGGTATATGATAGGACCCACGTGGCCAGGAACTAATGAGGGGTGTCGAGTGTTGCTTAAGACGTGGAGTCAGAAGCTGAGACTTGACCCTCACACACACACAAGTCGGTAAAAAAAAAAAAACGCTCCCCCACACTCAACCAGCCATGACAAAACAGAAAAAAACACAAGAGACTAGGAAAACTTCAGCTGTGTCTGCCAATCCTCGGCGAGCGCCGCCTGATACACATCACTGAGATCTGATGATACCAAGGGCAGGGAGTAAGTACGATACTCCACATGACATGACATAAGATTAGGCCCAAGTGCTGGAGTTCAAATCTACAGTTAAAGCAAGGTGAACACACACACACACACACACACACACACACACACACACACACACACACACACACACACACACACACACACACACACACACACACACACATACACACACACACATACACACACGCACGCACACGCAGACAAACACACACATGCGCGCGCGCACGCACGCACGTATATGTAGTGGAAGCAGGATCCATACATAGCTTTAAGAAGAGGTATGCTAAAGATCATGGAGCAAGGAGAGTGACCTAGTAGCGACCAGTGAAAATGCGGGGCCAGGAGCTATAAATCGACCCCTGCAACCACTATTGGGTGAGTACAATTAGGTGAGGTGAGTACACACAGGTGACAAAACACGTGTCAACATAATTTCTAATCTTTGAAAAATCACACGTAAACTCCATCACTGTCTTGCCAGTGTAAAGCACCCTTCTGGCAAGACAGTGATGGAGTGAAT